GAAAAGTGGCAGTGGAAGTAGTAGTTGCAAATAGTGGGAATAGCAGAAAGTCTCACAAGAACGAGACTGGCAATAATTATGATAACGATGTCAGTGGTAATGATAATAAATGATACTAGGAACTAGTAGTACGAATAATGCGCACAATACGAATCACAATAGTCATAGGAACAACCGCAGTAATCATGCTAGTGGCAACAATGATAACCATAGGTGTAATAGCAAGAGGATAGTCAGAGGCCTCAGACCTTAATCATTATCACAACAAGTATGAGACAGAACATGCTAATCATCACCACCATCATTGTCATCATCATTACATTAGTAGTATTCAGTATTAACAGCAATAACGGTTCATCATCCTAATGATCGTAGTCATCGTAGCAGTAGTCGCATATTTAGACTTGGTGTTCAGGGGATGTGTTTGGGGTTCGGGGATTTCGGATTTTATTGTCTTGGTGCATGCGGTTACCGCGAGGATTCTCTCCCTGGGCCGCGCGAGACAAACGCAAGAAATATCGAGTCCTTCATGTAGTGGGGGGTGTTGCTCTTGTCTCTGGATGGCCCACATAGAAACCTGGAACCAGAAAAGGTCTCTATTGATCTGCATTCCACTTTCTAGCCTGGAACTTCAAGCTGCCTTGCGTGCATTGGTTGCATAGTTTATGCATGAGTTTCCTGCTATGCAACACGGGACCCCGATATAGACCGTAAGCCTCAAGCTGCGGGGGACCCTCATAATTCAAAACTTGCCAACGTCATAGTCCAAAAATTGCCAACGTCTCTTCGAGCTCAACGTTTTGCAGGTGTCACAAGGGCGCCTGCGGTTCCAATCATCGCAGAAAGTGGCGATAATGGGAACGGGGGTGCACAGCTTTGAGCCTCTTGGCTTAGCCGGATAAGCCGTCGAAGTGTCAGTTATCCTTGCCCACTCCCCTCTGCAATCGCACTAGAAAAGTTTCGGCCGTGCCGTTGTCGTGAAGTTACTTGGGCTTCGCGGGTCTGTGGATGCTTCGGCGACGTGCGGATGAGGTTCGTGACCGTTTTACTGCATTAGTTACTACATTCCGCTCTAGAGGAGTGCAGTATGCATGCCGTTGTGATATGATTGCGCCTGTGCCACCCCAAGTTTATCCGACTGGTCATTCTGAACCCTCTACTTTCTGAGGGCCCGGAATCTGTTTTGCTGCAGGCAGCCTTTCCAGCAGAAGCCCGGTGAGTGGACCTTAGCCGTCTCTGCGTGCTTTGGATTTGGCACCCAATCTCCTGGGGGGGTTTCCTCGGTGGTTGAACAATAGGTACTCTACAGCTCTTCTAGATCATCTCTCAGATCATCTTTCATTATGACTGCGATGAGTCGATGAGTGTTACTACTTTTGAAATGGTTAGTAGTTGAGTGGTTGCTTGCTTTATAAGGCTGGATGCTTTCAAGCTTGCAGGAAAGAAGAGTTGTGTTGAATTCGGGATCGAGGTGCATCATGAGCATGAGCAGTCGTCGTGGTTGTAGCAGCTTAGGAGTGCAATGGCAGCCGCACCAGCAGCACGCAAGAATGGCAGTCTTTAGATTTTCAAAGAAAGCGCTGTGTTTCGCTCGTTTTTTTTTATGATGTGCAGTTTCAGTCTGAGCAGAGGTGCTTCGGGCATTTATCCGAGAGCTTCGAGCGCCGGACAGATGCCCCTCCGACTGGTTGTGCAGGAACCCCCAACCTTGAACCCGATGCTTCGGCGCTCATATGTGTCGAAGCAGCCCGAACCCTCAGCATTGGTCAGTCCGTCAGAAAGCCCGGGGCGCAAGAAGTCGGTAACATTCAATACTCAATCCTCGGGCTATGGGTCGTAGAAGCGGAAAAGCTAAGCTCCAGTGTTGTTAGATGCCGCAGCAACAACACCAAAAAGCCAGAGCTACAAATGCCCGGAGGACTAAGCACAAAATAGAGAGCGGAGACCATTTCTAAGCAGCATGGAAAATAGCCACCATCACCAAACCCAGAAAGCAGCACCATGAGCAATCCCAGTCATCGCCCGCATCGGCGTTAGCGCTCTTTAGTTTGTCGACACGATGATCGCCGTCATTGTCATCGTCCACACCATCATCACCGTACCCATCACCATCAGATAAAAACGCGATAGAATGAAATAGAATGGATTACATCGTATTCCAAGGTACTATATTGTAATATATATTCTACTGCATACCGTTAACGTACTGCTAGACTATAGCATGATGTTTACAAAAAGGCATAATACAGATATCGTATACAACACCATGTAAATATGTAGACAAGTACATGAAGAGCAAATCGACAGGTAATGACTCACACATGCAAAGACATATTATTATATTATGTACGTACGAATGCATGTATTTATGTACGTATGTCTGTAAGCGTATGTGAATGCAAACACTTTATGTACATATACATGCGTATGTACACATATATGTGTGTACATATGTATATAGAGATTGATAGATAGGTGGATGTACTGTACATAATATCGCATGTTCTCTGTGTGCCAGCAGCACCACCAGCAGGAGACGAGTCGACCTCGACGCTCTCAGCGCCCGCATCATTTGTAAGCAGGTTGATGGTCGGTTTCACCGTCACTGCCATCAGCTGTCCTCATCTTGTTCAAGATTTCTTTTCATATACATCATCAGCATCCACCATCCTTATCATCCTTATGCTCGTCCTCATCTCCTGTCCGAACCTCAGCCGAGGCCTTGCTCTTGCACCGGCCCTTGAAGCCGATCTTAGCCCCCTGGCCCGCGAAGCGGCGGCGCAGTGGAGCAACACGCCACCTAGCTGACCCAGTTTTGTTCGGTCTGAGTATAGTGACGTGTTTTGTTTCTGTTTTGCGGTCTGCTTTCAGAGGAGTCTGGCTGTTTTGGACCCGGAAGGATCTGCAGAGAGAACTTGGTGGAAGGTCTTCCGCTCTAACTCCACTTGTGAGCCATGAAGTGGTTGCAGATCGAAAAACCGCGCGTTAGCAATGGGCAGCCATGTCCGAGATGGACCGACGGTAGTTCATCTTGCGTGCGAGCGCGCCTGCCATGACCTGCGGGATGTGATTCTTAATGTGTTGCTGTCCATGTTGAGGTCAGAGCTTACTCGTATCGGTTCTACTACCGACGTCTGCATTCAAGTTCCCGTCTGCTGTCTGTTATGACTCTTATGGCACTGCGCCATCCGAGGCTTCACCCGTGGGCAGGCCCGAGGGCAGAAGACCATTTATACCATGCTAGACGCCGAGATGTAATCCCTCAACACAGCCTCCATGCCAACCCCTCAAGCCACATAATAAGGACCAAGAAGCTGAAGAGCAAGCAGCCCGTCTTCTTGGAGCCGAAGCCTTCAGATTCAAAACCCCGTTTCCGATGTCCATGTTCAGATTCCGAGTGCTTCTGTTAGTCAGGTTGTGGTCGGGTGGGCCGGGCCTCTGAGGTTTGCAGTCGAAGGAGCTTGGCAAGCCCGGTAGTGTAAAGATTCACCGATGTCTGCTTAGGCTGAAGGCTTTTCATCGAACTTCGCAGGGTTTATCCAGGTCTGGACAACATGGACTATGTCCATGCTTAAGCGCTCGGAGTTAGCTGCTTCAGGTTCAAGGACATGACTTGAGGCTTTGTATTGCTGGCCGGTCTGGCAGGTCTTTACGGTGGAGAACTTCCTCCAGCCCGAGGCGGGAACTTTTGCAGGCGGAGTTGGTTCTATAAGCAGACACAGACTGCCACGACTGCTTCTGCCACGAATGCTTCTACGAGCCGACGTTCATCGTCCGCCATACGCGCCGGCGTTGTAGCATGTGCCCTAGAGCACATCAAATGCTTCTACTACCACTTCGCTACGAAACCTACTGCTGCTGCTGCTGCACCATAATTACTTCTCCTCTTTGCGGACGTGTTTGGTTTTCGGAAGATGATGTGGTCTTCAACTCTTCAACCTTAGCCCCACCCCCTACTGGTACTTCCGTCCAGCGTCTTACCATCAGGATGACATGCATAGATCATAGATGAGTCTTCACCAGAGAGCAAGAACACTCGACCGACTCTTAGTCAGTGTAGTACTCACCGCGATCGTTGTTTGCTTCTAGAAGAGCTACTGCTCCGCATGAGACTCTACACGCATTTCCAGGAGCTAGAACGGTTCCGGGCCTGGGAAGAGTCTTGGCTTTGCTAATCTCCAAGCTGAACAGATATACTTTTGAGGCTTGATTGGGCTGGGATTGGCCACATTCGATGTGAGCAGCGCGAGGCTCAAAATCTGTTCCTCGGCTAGGGTCGGAAGTGGCAGTCTTCACCCTAGAAATCTGGAGCAGCCTTTTCGGTTTTTGTTTTGAGATGGGAAGTTGTTGATTGACGGGTTTGGGCAAGGACAGATGCGCGGCCAGCGTTGAGCGCAGCGATGAAAAGAACGAAGGCAACCTGACTTGCTGAAGGTTTGAAGGAGATTGTGGTAAGCCATTGTCGCCTTAGTTCGATTCTCGCTGGGCTGGAGTTGCTTTCTGAATCTGTAGCTTTCTGCAGGATTTTAGCGATTGCTTGGATGTCTCCGCACGCGTGAAACCTCCCATCCATGTCACACAAACAGCTGCTGGCATTGCGGCCATTGCCGTTTCAGGAATATGTTCAGGAATACGCTCTATGCTCTGTAAAGAAGTGCAGGAGTGTTTGCATGGTTCTAAATGTGCAGTTGCCACTTGGGACTATGACTGTGGAAGACTCATCTTGTTGAGCATTGCTGCTCCTATTGCGAACAAGCATCGCACGCCCAATCATCGTCATCATAGAGTGCTTGAGGTTGCCGTTGCGCTTGGCAGTTCAATCGTGCCGCACGTGTTATTGCACAGAATGGTTGATCAGTTGTTTCCGTCTTTAGAGGTAGCACGCGCTTGGAATAAGTGTTTGCTGCCAGTGCCACTGCTGTTTCCCCTAAACCCAAACTACAAGACGAGGCGAGCATTGCCTTGCTCGCGGCTGTGTGGCATACTGCGGACTTTGGCAAATGGCGCAGTCGGGCAGTGTTGAGGCTCCAACAGCAGCCAGAAGACTCGCAGCGTTTTCCTAGTTCAGGATCTAGACTAGGGTGTTTGATGCTCATGGCCGTCAGGTTTTAGGTCAGGACGAACGAAGACCATGAATTGATTCGATATTGGAGTAGGACTTCAGACTGAGGTGCAGGAGTAGCAGATTCGTCAGAGTAGCCAACACAAAGCAAGAGCCACTGGGAAGCCGACACGATGTCCCCGTCACGGTTCAGGTCTGGTCTCTCCGGTAGGTGCATGGCATCTCAACTGGCTCTACCAGGGTTCTAAGCTTCACTGCTTACGACCGGGAGCCCTATAGTCCCAAGCAGCTTTGCATTCCGTCAGGACATGAGGCTTCTTCTGAATGTGACAGCGCGGTCACTCGCATTGGTGTGCCTTGCCTGGGCAATAGTGCGGCAACTCGCTTGTTTTTTAGGCACACTCTCGGCGTTTCTGCCTTGCTGTGCCCCCCTTGCCCTTGAAATGACAAGACGTCACCATGGCATCTCTTCTCTTGCTCTTCTTGTGACCACCTTGGCACGAGGAATGAAGGCTTGGGGCCGCCGAAAGTGACGGCCTACGACTACGTCGGGCGGGTGTGGCCTCACTGGGCCACCTTTCAACACTACCTGCCTGGAGGGATGCATATCCTCCACCCGGACACGGACAAAGGCGGGCTTTCGGCGTTTAACTGTCCTCCTTTGCGAGAGTCTTGGCGTGAGGCAGCCTTGCTTCTGACCCCACTAGAAGGTGAGCATTGCATCTCGCTCGCCGTGTCCTTCTCCACGCATGGTGACGACTTCGGCGGCGGGGAGATCAAGATCTATGGATGCCCTCCAACAGCTCCATGGCTGAGCTCCGTTTGGCTCGCCTTTCTAGCTGTCAACGAGCTTTCATTCGTAAGCTAGCAGACATGCCAGTTGCTCTGAGATCGGAGTGCGCGCAACCTCTTCCTTGAGCCGGCCACACAAATCACGGGTAAAGCGCTCAAAAGCTCTCATCCTACCAAGCAGTAGGCGATCACCCTGAATCCTCAGCCGTTTAATGCTGCACAGTATCCGAGAACCCCTGAAAACTCGAAATTGCACACTTCAACACTAGACCCCAAATTCCCAAACCCCTCACTGCAGCCCCAACTGCCTAGGCCCCAAGCCGCCGAGCCCTGACGCCTGAACCCCATAAATTCTCAAGCCCAAAACCCCTTAACTCTAAACCCGGACCCGGAGTATGGAGGTTCCCGACTGTGGCAACAGGGGACGCGCCCGCACGCGGGTGCCCCTGGAGGGTGGACCTTACGATCCTCGCATGCAAGTTGCCTGGGGCGTTCTACCAGTGTTGAGATTGTTTCATGGCGGTGTTGCAGCCTTTTAGTTGCAGGGGTTATCAGTTCTTACTTATTGGGTTCTTCCTCGAAGCCAAGCTCGCTTCTGGATCGAAGTAAGAGGGCATTGCGAATATCAGGAAACCCGACAAGCTTCAACCAAAGAGCCCGAAGCCCCTAAGCCCTAAGCCCGCCCAAGCAACAAAGCCTTCGAACATTTTGAGATTTTAAATTTCGATTTAAACTCGAGAAAACCCTAAGCCCGAAATCTTATGAACTCTTGAAACCGAATCCCCAACAGGATTGAAGCTATCGAACACCCCAAGCCCGCAAAAGCCCCTCAACCCCCGAAAACTAGCAGCTATTAGTCCTTGCAGCTTGGGACCTGCTACTTTCCATGTCAGCTGAAGGCAAGGCGTTGGCCTAATGGCAGCATCTTGCCCTTGGCACCTGGAGAGTGGCTCTGGGATGGAGAGCCCGAGAGTGCGTACACGGTCAAGGAGCGGAGAGCTGCCATGTAGCGACATTCACAACGATGACATAGATATAGACAATGATTCATAATGTAATCATGTAGCATGACGTGCTATGCTATTGATGTGTCACGCGAGTAAGGGGAAATGGTCGTGGCACTGGTAATGTCATGTCATGTGTGATGTTGTGTCGTAGGGTATTGTATGGTATGATATCGTGGTGATCACCATCCTGGTGTCGCCAACACACCATCCATAGAAGAAGCTGGCGGTTCCGAATTCGACGTGCGCACTCTATACCCGAGGCCGGAGCATAGGATCTAAGCCCCGGCGTTTCCCAAATTTCACAGCGTAGTGATGTGAGATCATTGGTCACAAACGCCGTGCCAGCAGCATGTGGGGATGGATTACAACCCAGTGTCATGAAGCCCAAGCGGCACCCAAACCCCGAAACCAAAAACCCTGAAACTACTTTCCCAAAATCGACAAGCTGCCGACACCCCGACTGCATAAAACCCACTAGCCCACAAACCAACAAAACACTCCACCCTGAACGCCTTTGGCTCCGAAACGCAGGAGTATTTCATGCCCAAAACACAAAAGCGCTAAACCTAGCCTGACGGAGAGGACACGCTTCGCCCAAAGAGCGGCCGAGCGGTCGTTTGGCTGAGTGAGACGGTCCACCAGGCAGCCGGCATTAGCAGAACTGGCCAGATCAGGAACTTTCTGGGTGTGGAGTTTTATGAGACAGATCCTGTTATCGAGGGTACTCAGTCTTTTGGAATAATAAGTGGTGGAAAGAGATCAACGCGGAGGTTGAGGGGTTCTAAGGGCAGGTTTTGTTTTTCACCTGGTTGCACGTGGTGGGGAAGACTTCAGACAGGGTTTAGAGATTAGGATGTGCAGGGTGTAATGTACGGGAGGCCTGTGTGACTTCTTGATCTATTATCCGTGCCTAAGCCGGAGACGAGTGCAGTGACTGGCTTGCGCCCAAGTCTGGAGCTGCGAACCCCGTTGCAACAGGGAGTTTCGAAAATTCGGGCTACCTTGTTTATTGGGGCTCTTATAATAAGGATCCTACCATTTAGGGTACTATAAGGGTCCCCTATTTTCGGAAACTTCCATTTTGCCGCCCCTGCAAGGTGCAACCGGTGCAATGGGGTTCCCGCAAGAGCCTCTTCTACTGGTTCACCTGCAAGGACGTCGCAACTCCCCTGAACCATCCCACCCTAAGCCCTAAACCATCATCCATGCACAGCCACAAGATCAAGCAAGATCGGAAAGGTAAAGGGACTTGGACCGGTTTGTTTGATTATGATGGTGATGAGTCTGATTTCTTGGAGAAATGTAAGTGGATGTGTGTTTGGTTATGTCTTTGCACATCTGACGAGTTCAAGGTTCATGGAATGGAAGATAGGTGGATATGCGGGTAGATATGGCAAAGCAGCATGATGCATGGGACCTAAGCAAGCTAGTGTTGCAAAGCGCAAGTCAGCACCCCCACACTTGCAAATGTGCAAAAAACATAAAGGGCCCCCCGCGCACAGCAGTTTCCTGTGTATCATTCTCATGCACTTATGCGTGCGTTTTTCCATCGGTTCATTCACCAATTTATGCATGCAGGAGCTCAGTCAGTAATTGAGTCAGTCGGTCAGTTTGTCAATCAGCCAGCCAGCCAGTCAGTCAGGTTATTCCTTCACATTCATTCGTGGTTTCATACTCTACGACTTCAGGAGTACCTTAAGTCATTCGTTCATAGGCTCATTTGTGTGCTCAGCTGTTCTTCATACCTTCGGTCGATGGATTCACGCATGCATGTCTTCGTTCTTTCGCTGATCGATTCGTTATGTCATCCTTTCGCGTGCTCGTGCGTTACATGGTTCGTCCGTTGTTTCGTTGATTCAACATGGGGTGCATGAGCCCATGAAAGCGGGTCTCACGCATGTACAAGTTCATGTCTGACTGAATTCGGCACCTTAAAGCTGCGCCTTCAATTTCTCAATCCTACACATTCAGACCTTCAAGAGACACCCTATGATCCCTAGACTTTAAACCTTAATCAAGCCGCCGACATCATAGGAGCCGCTTCAGGATCAGGTGCCAGAGGGTTCATGGTTGGGATTTCCACAAGGCATTGCATACACATCTGTATGGGTATAGTACCTATACTATTTCGGGGGTTCCTTGTTTTCGTTGTAGTATACTGGGCCCCCAAACCCTATTCGGCCCCTATACTAGCGGGATGGTTGACAGTGCTCCAACGTCCTGGGTCAAGTGGAAAGGGAGGGCAAAGCAAGGACCAGCTGGTTTGAGTTTGGGGCTTTCAGGAGGCTCCTCAGGCCACTTAGGGGTCTTGGATGAAAGCTGTATTTTTCTGTCCGTCTCACAAGGATAATTGGTGTCAGGATTGTTTGTTCTGCGAAGGAAGGCTTTAAGCTTGAAAGAGTCTTGTGTCTACCTCCACTATCGATCCCAATGCGATTGCCTAAAGCCATGCGGGAGAAAATACGGTGCTTACATAGTCTAAGTCATATACAGACATAGATATATGTCGGTCTGCGTATGTACGTCACTGTTGGTGGTCTCAGGAAGCTGTTTATTCGTTCGAGTTTTTGCTGTGTCATCGTGAGTTCATCTCGTTGCGAATACGGCTCAGTGTTCCTGTCCAAGCAGTTGCCCTTGCATGCTATTACCGATATGTACTTTCTGAGGCGTACCGATTCGACCATGTTTTGCTGGTGTGTAAGCTTCCAAGCTTTTGTCGACGAGTAGAGCGATGCCAGGCTTTCGACTGGTCCGGGTACGCGGAACGCTTCTTAGAGGGTGGAATCCGGTCACTCTTCTCGGAGGCCTCTGGCAAAGCTGCAAAAGGAAGCCCATCCAAGCTGTGTGATTAGAAGAGACCTGTAGGACAGGTTTGACAACACGCATGTGTGCAGATGCGAAGGAGGATTCCGCAACAAGGGTAAAGGATCTGAAAGAGCGGCAGTTCATGCGCATGGGGCGCAGTTCATCCCTTGCATGCCGATGCTGATCTGTATATGTGCATTGATTGCCCGCAGCGTTTTTCGGGGCGGGTGGTTGGACGACTCGCTCCCTTGTGGCTCACCGGGGAACAAGAGTAGCACAGGCTGGGAGGGGGGAAGGCAAAGAGAATGAAGGTCAGAGCGTTGTCTGTGGCTTGGCTTTGGTCCTGAAGTCCCAACTACGCCAGAGTGGGATTCATTGCCAGTTGAGTCTCTTGAGGTCCCAATGTCCAGGGCTCCTGAGGCTTCCGAGTCGACCTTGTCATTGTGCCCTTCGGTCGGGCTCAGGAGTGTTACATTTCGCACGTGAGGGTCGGAAATTACCCACACAAATCTGACAGGCAGAAGGAAGCATCACTATATGCTATGATGGAGTTCGACTTCTCAAATGCTTGGAGGGACAGATAAGATCCATCGTGCCAAGAGTCAGTTGGTAGCGTGAATCCTGAGAGTGGGAGCTTCGATGCAAACCCAAACAGAAGATGTAGAGGTGTAACCTGCACAAGTCTGCCTCAATTGGGTTTTGAGTAGTTAGTAGGAGTATCTCCTCCATATATATATATATATATATGTATATACATATATATATATATATATATATATCTACTAATATATGTATAGTGTATATAAGTATACTGAAAGATGCTACAAGACCTTATTCCAGCTTGGAAAGCTCCCGTATTCGTCCTGCTGCGAACATCCATCCGGTCCTTCTCACAAGGTGTAGCAGAAGTTCTCCACAGACAATCATTCTGGCAGCACGGCAACACTTAGTCGACGACGAGACTGACTGCCGTCATCGTAGCCATCACATGCCATGACCATCATCCTCCTCAACAGCATTTGTTATGTTGTGCTGCTTTTCGGCATTTAGTAGTGTAGTACATATATATATATACACATATATAATATTTTTATTACATATGTATATACAGATAGATTGGTATATGTACTACATTCATTTTTTCTCAGAATGCCCTCTGCCGTGCCAGATGCGCCACTGCGCACAAGCGGAGAACCAAGGCACCTCCTGTGGCCTGGGTTTGAGGGTTTCGCTGGGCAATTTTCTTACGAAGCCTGCAGAAGAACCTGAAACTGTTTGGGTTCCTTTCGCGGCTTCGATCATACTGTAACGTTTGAGCTTTTCTTGGCTACTGGTATTGGTCTTTGGATTCTGTAAAGGGGTCGGAAGACTTTGCAATAGTCTTTCGTGAGGGGTGGGGAGAATGCGTCTTTATTTGTACTAGTGCCCGCTTATGGTCCCGACTGTAGCTGGTTTTGTCCCAAACCTACTCTGATTGCTACGGCCCCTGCATGAAGGCCTTGTTTGACATGTTTGGGCTAGTCTTTCTAACATGCAGCCTTCTTATATAGGATGCAGGATGATCAGTGAGCCGGAACAGCACGAGTCGGTGTTGAGGCGGGGCCTAGCCGCTAAGCCACTGCGCTCTAATACTTGACGGAGTTTCCGGTAGCGAGTCGAGTGGAACTACAGAGCCCTACTTCTACGAGTTGTTTAGGGTATCCAGAACGAGTCTAGTTCTTCGACTGGGCGGCTCATGGCAACTGGTTGTCCACTATCAACCACTGCCAGGCTCACACATTCTGCATCGGTCATGATGATATTCATAATGTTGACCATTCCGATGAGCATGATGGCGACCATGCCAATGACGATCATGGTGCCGACGACCGGTGGCAGCGATCGTCTTCCGGAGAGGCGCGGGGCCCACGCCTCGTCGTGCGCCAGGGAGGCGAGCAGGGACCTCGGAGCCTCGGAATGTCATTTTCTAGGGATCTAAGGGCTCATATGTTAAGGCTTTTGGGCCCAAAGACCATACTATACAAGGCTTTTGGGCTATTTTGATCCCTAGGGATTGTGTGTGTGTGTGTGTGTACTTATGGGCTTCGGGTTCACCGTTTAGGGCTTAGAGTGATCTCACTCCCAAAGAGATCGGTCTTGTACACCTTGACCCCTCAACCCCATATGGGGGTTTCCGATTATTAGGGGTACCTTATTTGGGGGTCCTTATAATAAGGATCCTACTATTTAGGGTACCATATTAGGGTCCCCCTATTTCCGGAAACTCCCATATGTGAATCTAATCCTGGGGCACCTTACCGAGGCCACAGCTCTGGTGGTGAGTGCAACGCTGCTGTGGCAGGATGCTCAGATGAGCCGAGAGTCGAGGGGCAAGAAAAGGATGGTGAGGTGAGATCAGGAGTATTCAGAAGCTGCCAGACAGATATAGCCTTCAGACTTAGAATGACGAGTTCTACCAGCTTCAAGCATGTCCATACCCGTAAATGTCGCTTGAGTTCAGGATTGCTTTCTGTGAGGTTTCACATTTGTGGAGCCTGAGGCGTGTAGTTTGTCAGCTTTGTCCTGAGGTACTTGTAAGATAAGTTTTTGAGCTCGGCTGGGTTCGCACAGACGTTCTGACTTGCTGGTCGTTGCCCAGACCCTTAGGTCAGTGCTAAGCTGCATCCCGGAACATGTTCAACTAACCGCCTTCAGGGGAGCTTCATTGCTGCGCTCATCGAACGAGGCCGTGAGTTTCGATGGCCAGACATTCTGGCACCTGCCGTGTTTGGTGTTTGTAGGGCCCCTGATGACAATCACAGGAGGCCTCGCAGCACGATTTCGTCGTGCCCAGTGCCCGTTCCGCCATCCATGAGGCCCGGCTTATGGGACTCAAGGCGCGGGCTTGAAAAGCATCGCTTGCAGCCATCGCAGTCTTGATTCGAGGCATTCGAAAAGGCAGTTCCCCCTCGTACGAAAACAGTTGCATCTGGCGGCACTTGTGCAAGTGAGTATCTAGGCGAGCCACGTGTTTTGTGCAGGGCTTTGTGCCTACTGTGCGCAAGCATATGCGGATGAAAGATCGTGTCGTGACGTGTTCAACACATCCTTGACTTCTCCAGATGGGCATGTACGGTACGCGTCGCTGCATGCTTGCGTACATGCATTCAAGCATGTATACATGCAAGCGCACACATGCATAGAAGTAGATCCAAACGTGATGAGTCTTCACCTAGTTAGAACGGAAGAGTATGCCACATGAGCACACTGCATCGTCACCGTGGTAGAGCCTTGCATGCAGAGGTACATATGTTGCATGTGGCACTACATGACAGCATCATATGATTGCACGGGCGATGTTCGCGCAGACGGATCTTGGCAACGCCAGCATTCAACTCGAGAAAGCCGACGAGAGAAAAGGGCGCATATAGACAGGTGTGAGTGTAGGTACAGCCACTGCAATGAGTAAGGGTGTGTGATGCTTGGCCATAGCTGGGCAGCTGAAGCTCTCTGCTCGTTGCAGCAGGTCAGGTACCAACAACATAGCCGAAATTGCTATGGTCTGCAATCTCCAGCCCCCAAACCTTGAACCTAAGTGCGGTGCATTCAATCTGGCAGTTTTTAAGATGAGCAGTTTGCCCAAAGCGGTTCGGAGACCCAACCGCCAATACTTCAATCCCTGCGTACTCCCTAAACCCTTCCCCCTCTGATTGTCTTTCTGATGCGACAGGCGCAGAGGCTGAGGCACGGGGTGACGGGACTCTTGTGAGTGCTGCATTCTGTCGTTGTATGTGGGCGGGAGAGCTTGGCTTCGGTCGGCTTGCAGTCTTGACGGTGCGGCCTCGTATAAATATTGTTATTATTGTTATTATTGTTATTACTATTATTATTATGATTATTAATTTATTAATATTTTTATTGCCGTATACCACCACTATCCGAACAGGTGTGACAAGGCATGAGAAGCGTGAACTTTAAAAATGACAGACGGTGCGAGCTGTCCACGTTTCAAAGTACCTCATCAGGCACGGCACAAGACATTTGGCTTTGGTTGCCTCTCTCGGTTGGCTTCTGATACGGGCCTACCGAAGCAAAACGCAAGCAGGTAACTTTGCTGGTCGTCGTCGTTGTGCTGATGGTGGTAGCAGCAAGAGTAGCAGTAGTAGTCGTAGTAGTAGTAGTAGTAGTAGGAGTAGGAGTAGGAGTAGGAGTAGGAGTAGGAGCAGGAGCAGGAGCAGGAGCAGGAGCAGGAGCAGGAGCAGGAGCAGGAGCAGGAGCAGGAGTAGCAGCAGCAGCAGCAGCAGGAGCAGGAGCAGAAGTAGTAATAGCAGTAGTAGTAGTTGTTGTTGTCGTTGTACTTGTGCTGCTGCTGCTGCTGCAGCAGCAGCAGCAGGAGCAGCAGCAGCAGCAGGAGCAGAAGTAGTAATAGCAGTAGTAGTAGTTGTTGTTGTTGTCGTTGTAGTTGTAGTTGCAGCAGCAGCAGCAGCAGCAGCAGCAGCAGGAGGAGGAGGAGGAGGAGGAGGAGCAGCAGCAGCAGCAGCAATAGTAGTAGTGGCAGCACCCTCAGGCGCACTGCGCGGGCTGCTGATGCTCTAGAGGCACCCCCTTTACTGCCTGTAGCGATCCACGGCTTCGCTTGAACGGTTCAGGGCTTGGTGGCTTTTCTTGGTGGTTGGAGTCTTCAATTGCGCAAGTGCAGGGTTTAACCTTCGGGTGGCGAATTCGTGGCCGACCCGGGATTAGATCCGAGCGCTTCGCTTGAGGTTTGTACTTTCTAGATGTAGGAAAGGATGTCTTTTAGCAGTCTTTGGATGCCTGCACCCTGTTGCATGTTTAGGGCCTGGATGATTGCATAGGCGTGTTGTTCACTGCAGCCGTGGACCGGTGCATTCAGGACAGCGACGAGCCCCTGCCGCCCAGGCCGGTAGCGTCAGAGTGAGGGGATGCATGAGGAAAGCTCACCAGAAACACCTGTGCTATACCTGCTGCTCATCAGCTCCGTTCCTGCAAAATCGCAGTGCTCCATGGCCACTTGTCTGAGAGTGGGCGAAGCTGCTCCCTTGAGGCCCGAGCTGCCGAATTCGACAGAGGCTGGGAAACAGATCGCTATGCATCTTGAGGTTCAAGACCAGGCACAAACCATCCGGCAGGTCATGTGTCGTCAGGCGGCCGAGGCTGCCATGCGGGCCTACAGAGCCCATAAGCTCAGCTGAGGGCATTCGTGCCGACAGGTACAAATGACGGATTTCCGTGGTCGGGATTGAGAGGTAGGTAGGACTGGGCCAGGAAGGAAGGGTGTAAGGGGCTCCTTCTGAACAGCTTACCAGATCGGTGCACATTGCGCGTGGGGTCCTCTTCAACTTGCATGCCAAGGACGGCTACACACGCCAAACTGTCCGACTGCGCCTGGCGCAGCCCTCAGATGCATTCATCAGCTCTGCAAAAGCAGGGCTAGGCCTGTGGACCTGAATGACACGGTGATGTGAGCAGGCGCTTGCTCTCGCGCACATCCCTGAGTATCAACCTCTAAGCCAGTCGCGAGCCGTCAGGATGCTGCGTACGACAGCCAGGAGGATCTCGGCGCGCTGCTCAAGGCGCATTGGGATGGGCCAGCTGATGGTGGCACTTGCATTTGCACTGGCTCCACCATAGGACGGACAAGGAATGCTGGAATGCCTGCAGTCATGATGGAAGCGACTGGCCATTAGAACCGCCAGAAGTCATGCGAAGATCTTTTCGTGCGCGAGTTGCGCAATCTTGGGAATCTTGGGGCTTTGCAATACCTGGGCTCACCGCTCCTTGCCAATATAGCTGTTACCTATATGTAGTTGCTCACAGATCCGGAGGAGGCCAGCCACAAGAAGCTTTCTATTTCAGTTGAAGGCTCTCGGCAACAACAGCTCCCCCCAAGATCCAGTGCAATGTGTAGAAAGTGCACAGATCAAGTTCAAGTTTGCGCACATCTTCCCCCCGATGCTGCTTATCCCAGCACTGCGACGCTGCCGGGACGACGACTTCTGCGTCGCACACGTACGGAGAATCAGCAAGTAAAGCAATTGCTGACCACAGTCGGTCCAACCATGATCATCCTTGTCCTCGTGGTCGCTCGTCATCTTCAAGGTCAGTCGTCTTCTTGTGGTTCACCGCAAGAAGAACAAACTTCAACAACTATTCTTGCAATTGCTGCAACTACAACTACAACGACTCCAACACCTCGTTGGGCCAGATTGTGCGAGAGGAGGCCACATGGACGCAACGGAGAGATAATTACAAAACGTAAAAGTGTGCAGTAGGTATGTAATCTACGTGTACGTACATCCAACCCTGGTCTGCAATGGGAGTTTGTAAGCATGTCATACGTATTATATCCTGCGACTCCTGAAAAAAAAACAAACTGAAATCTCAATGTGCAGGCGACGCTGCCGCTGGCAAAAAGCTTCACGACGCAGCAGCCTTGGTCTTCAAAGTTCCCTGGTGCATCTTTTTGGGTTCGTGAGTTAGTGTAGGCTGCAAATATCGGCCGGCTGTTATCAACTGGTCCTTTTGCTGTGATTATCAGAATATGGTTCGCCGTCAATGTTTTCCCCATTGTTATGATCACTTTCCCTACTGTTATGTTCACTAACCCAGGCAAGCTGATTGTATTTGCCCCTTCCAAAAAGGTTCAGCAGGCATTTCATCTTGAGCTCAAGATCTCGAGGCTGCATTGAGTTTGCTTCTGCGGAGGCAGATGTTCCGGATTCGAAAGAACCATATAAGTTAGCCAGTCTGAAGTACCATGGCATTTGCACCTGAAGTGAGGCTACTTTGAATCTTGTTCATCATGGGGACACACGCTACTTGCAAGGAAGCTCTGGAAGGGCGAGTCACTCGTTGACCTGAAGACGTCCTTAGTCGATGAGGACGTGCGGGACTCGCAGACTTTTGGGTGCCTTGTATTACTGTAGCATGGGGAAGAGGATGCAGATACGCAGCTCGGTGGTGACTGGAGACAGCTGTTCGTTTTGTGTCGAGTTAGAGTTGCTGTTGCCTTTGACGAAGGAGGTTTGAAGCGCAAGGTTCGGGGCCAATGTCTTGCTACTGATATGACAAGGATCTGGAGAAGCAGTAGCATGGAATGGCTATTGCCAATTGCAGTACTAGCAGTCGCAGTCGCAGTAACAGTCGCAGTGGCGGTGGCAGTGGCAGTAGCAGTAGGAGGTAGTAGCCGTCGTAGTGGTAGTTGGTAGTGGTAGTAGTAGCAGCAGCAGTAGTCGCAGTAGCAGCAGCAGCAGCAGTAGCAGTAGCAGTAGCAGTAGCAGTAGCAGTAGCAGTAGCAGTAGCAGTAGCAGTTAGCAGTAGCAGTAGCAGTAGCAGTAGCAGTAGCAGTAGTAGTAGTAGTAGTCGTAGTCGTAGTCGTAGTCGTAGTCGTAGTCGTAGTGGTAGTGGTAGTGGTAGTGGTAGTGGTAGTGGTAGTGGTAGTGGTAGTGGTAGTGGTAGTGGTAGTGGTAGTAGTGGTAGCAGGAGTTGTTGTTGTTGCTGCTGCTTCGCTGTGGTGCTGATGCTGGTGCTCTTGCTGTTGCTGTTGAATGAGTGCATGACTGCATGCATGAATCAATGAATGACATGAATGAAATGAATGGATGGTTGGACAACTGGACGGATGGATGGATGAATGGATGAACGATTGAATAATTGAACATACAAACTGTACTGGAATGTTTGAATGAAATGAATAAATTGAATGAATGTCAGGAATGAACGAATGAATGAGTAAAGTAATGAAGGAATGAATGAATGCATGCATGCATGCATGAATGAATGCATGCATGGATGGATGGAAGGAAGGAAGGAAGCAAGGAAGGAATGAATGAATGAATGAAATGAATGAAATGAATGAAATGAATGAAATGAATGAAATGAATGAATGAAAGAATGAAAGAATGAATGAATGAATGCATGGATGGATGGAAGGAAGGAAGGAATGAATGAAATGAATGAAATGAATGAAATGAATGAAAGAATGAAAGAATGAATGAAATAATGAATGAATGAATGGATGAATGAATGAATGAATGAGAAAGACTGAAAGACTAGAAGCATGGATGAAGGGAATGAAGTGAATGAATGGAATCAAATGAACTGAAATGAAAGAATGGGTGAGTGATTGAAAGAAACTGAATGAAAAAATGAATGACAGAATGACATGAAATGAACTGAAATGAATGTGGTTGTTGTTGTTGTTGTAGCAGTTGTGGTTTGCATAGTAGATTATCCTGCAAAGAGGAAAAGGGAAGATTGTATCCTGGCCATCATCTCAGCACAAACGTAGTATTATGCCGATTGATCGGAAACAATCTCTGACGGAGTAGTAGACGTGGAAGGGCTGAGGTTGCACAGGTTCCAACAACCGCTAGTGCCGTCGTCGTGACGTAACCCAACTTAGCTTTCTGGTACGGACGATGCAGCTGCAGGTGACAACGCTGCTTTATCGAGAGGCGGACAACGCCCTCATGGACCGCCGGCGTAGTGCACCTCAAGCTCTGAAGCTTCAATCCTGTCCCTTGAAGCAAGCATCGGTCAAAACACGATGCCTCAGTTTGCTACGGCCTTTGCTGCTGCAGCTGCTGCTACCTACGACTACTCAGACTACTCTTGCTGCCCATCGGAGTGTGTCGTTCTCAGTCTTCCAAGCATGTCAGGCTACGACCTTTCCCTAGAAGCCTTGGCAGATCCCAACGCCGCGAAGATGGAAAGCAGCTTTCAGTCGCCCCTTGAAGGGGAATGGTCGTGGCTGTCATACGCTACTCTGCTGGTCAAGTCGAGAACGCAACAGCCGAAAAGCCTGACACGTTCGACATGACGAGTTCCAGCCTTCACGCTGTCATCACGACCCGTGATATGCATGATGACAGAGAAGTCCACGCCACTTGCGACACTCGTTGCTGCCATGCCGGTGCTGTTCTTCAGTGTTTGCTCCTTTCTAACCATTTGTTGCCACTCTTTTTGCTTCTGCTCTACAGATCGTCACTCTGAGTGCATGTGGTATCCAAGCACTTTTGTTCCACTCCTCTGCCCCAGGATGCAGCGGTGCTGTACCTGCCCTCCAGAGAAGTGGTCCTCCGCTCAGGTATAGAGATCGGGCAGGATCCTGGATTGAACTTGTGACCCCAGCTCGGACACTGATGCAAAAACCCATCCAGCTACGCACGCGAAGGCTTAGGGCATGACTTACTGGAACTGGTAGAGTGACAGCTAGCAACAGGGTCGGTGGTCAACATCGTAAGCATCATTGTCATGACCTTCTTCCTCGTTCTTTACACAAAAAATTTCGTCATCGCCTCTTCCATATCAATTTCTTCTTCGCTACCCAAACCTATATCACACTCATCATCAACATCACCATAGTCGTAACCAGCACCATCCCCACTCTTATGGTTCCTTGTGCATCTGCATCATGGACATCGCCAGCATCAACACCGTCACACAAAGAATCGGTGGCGATGCTCAGACAATTCTTCGAACTCCTGGGCCGGCTGCTCCTCTAACAGAATCCGGGCCACTGAAGCCTGGGGTGCTAGTCCTTCAAAGCGCAGGTGACTTCCTCTAAGTTCTCCAACTTCTTCCAGAGCATGGGCGATCGATTGGTGCGCCGAGGGTTTTGCGGGGTTCCTGTCGGCGGGCGGTCGATTTCCCTGTTGGGCAACTGCTCAAGTGCTAGGAACGGCGCACATAAATATGTGTGTATACATAGAGATAGATAGATAGATATAGATGTATGAATGCTTACACGCATGAATGATTAATTACATACATGCTCCAGCACACAGACAAACAGAGATGGACAGGTGGACAGACAGGCAGACAGGCTTAGATGTGCTGTTCACATGACTACAGACAGTCGCGGGTTTGTTTTCAGCTTTTAAGTCTTGCGCTAGATACTGTTACAAGGATGCACATAGGTGCCGTTTGCAGTGGGCTTTGCCGATCGGCACATGCTCGGTTGCATGCACGGGAACTTCCCTCATGGAAGTATACTTCGGCATAAGCGTCCATGAGCTCTGCAGGTAGTCATGGCCAACACAGAGAATGCCGCCGCCAACTGGCGGGTGCGCGGGATTGGTTTGCGGGCCTTTCAATTGAGGTGTAGCGTTTCGAGCCTGGGGTCAAGCGAAACATGGGCTAGACGACCTGCCTCCTCTTCCTCGTCAACATGGGCATTATCATCGCCAACGTCTTGTCGACACACTGCCGATGTAAATCTGTTTCCGTTTCGTTCTCGTGTTCCAATGATCGTGGCAGCCTTATGTGTCGGAATTCGTGCCGTCGTTTGTGTCGCAGCCACAGTGATGCCGATGAAGTCGTCATCATGATTCGCAGCACTGCCGCGTCGAAAGCACTGTTGAGCAGTCAGACGATGGCAAGTGATTCTAGCTTGTGCAGTCGGGTGCATTGTTGCGCCTCCAGGTTGCTGCATTCACAGATTGTGCCTTCGACTCCAGTCACACAACCCGCTCCGAGCTTGTCGGGTAATGTCTGATGCTGTCCCAGCTCGGTGTTTGAGTCCCAGAGGCTTGTGCATGCATCTGTTTTTTTTTTCTCTCTCTCTCTCTCTCTCTCTCTCTCTCTCGCTCTCTCTCTGTCTTGTTCCGTCTGACTGTGCCGGCATGATGAGCCCAAAGTCGAAATATACACACGATGCATCAAGATGCAGCCACGTATGGCCTTTCAACGTGTCCGCGCCCCACTGCGCCCCAGATATGTGAAAGTCATCATCGCGCCCCGGCGAAAGAATCGTGAGAGCTGGAAGACATGGTGAACTGGGGCTTGCGGTTCATGAGATTTGGTGCTTCGGGGTGCTCCCGTATTTGCAACAAAAAATGGGCCTCACGGAAGAAACGATTGGGGTATGCAGTCTGCTGATTCACCGAAGTCCTGCACACAACAGCCATGGCCAGGTGGACAACATGGGAGCGGATTTCTACGACTCCCCTGAAATTGGTTTAGAGGCGGGGCAGCAGAAATAGGATGAGTCCACGCTTTTCTCACAAGCAGTCGTTGCGACTGATCTGCTTGGCGACTAGAGTTCGCGAGTAGATTCTACTCTTGGCTTGGAACCAGTTTTCTTGCAGGGTGGACAGTTCCTTTACAGACACCACCATGTCGGGACGACAGTACCAACATAAATGCAACCTTTGACACAACTCGCTGTGCGCATATTATACTCTACCCTCGCCCAGATCTGCAAGCAGTTCTCCCAGCAGCAGGGAGCCGAGAGTGGTGCAACAGATTCTGGGGCTATGGGTCAACGCGGCATTCAATAGCGAACTTAGTTCACTGCCCCCGTACATTTTTCTGCTCCGGGCCGCGTGGCAGCTTAGACTCTGTGGATCCGGACTCACTTCGGCACAGACCTTGGATTCAATGTCTGTCGCCCCAGCTGTCTGCCCGGGCCAACTAAGGAGCTACTATTATCAGCTGGTGCCTATCAACAACTGGCAGGCCTGAGAACGGTGCAAGGCTTCGAAAAACATCGATTACCGCAATCTCTTGTGACAATGTCAACTAGCAATACAACGGAGACATAACTGGGCCAACTGGGGAATGGAAACTAGGGTCTGTTCATGTGGAGTGTCTAAGCCAAGCTGTGCAGCGTAGAATCGAGTGCATTGCGTGCACCATCTAGTTGATCATTCTGGGCTACGCACCATAAGACTGCCTTAATAACGAAACAGGTAGTTATCCCGACAGCAGCAACAGTGCAATACGACTACCATACAGCAGCAGCAGCGGAGTAGCCGTAGTTGGTCTCGTGGTCGTGGCAAGCTGCTACTGCTACTGCTACGGCTACTACTACTACTCCTCCTCCTCCTGCTGCTGTTGCTGCTACCGACTCTACGACTACGACTACTACGGCGACTACTACTACTACTGCGACGACGACTGCGTACTACTACGACGCTTGACACATGATGGTGTTTCATCATCATCACTATTAGCAGCAGCTTCATTTCCGGAAGCTTCCGGCTTTCAGTGTGCCCTTGTCCAGCTACTAGTAGCCTTTCTATGCTTCGCTCTGGATTCCTGCGATCCTTCTCCAACATTCCATTTGCACTGAGTCCCTTGAAACCGCTTTTAATCCAATTTTTGAAGTATGGTTCTTGTCGATGTCTGACCGGTCGGAGGTCACATTCTTCCGCGCGTGCCCTGACGGGGAGATTGCGGCCATTCCCAGATAGCAAACAGCTTCACCCGATTCAGATTCTGATTGGGCATGGCATGTGTGGAGGCTTAGCTTGTAACACGAGCTGCACCCCGTGACAGGGTTGCTCAATCACGGTATCAGCACAAATGACCACAGTAATGACAAAAGCAGTAGGGTAGGGCTGATGTATAAACATCACACTCGTGACCACTACCATCTTCATCACCATCAGCACCAGTATCATCATCATCTTCTTCATCATCGCCTCGGTCATAGTCACCATCACCCAGCATTGTCATCAGCATTGCCCCCATCTTCACAGAATCATCACCAGAAGCGTAGAAAGCAACATGTTGCCTGGGTATGTTCAATGATATTTATGACGTGCTGTTGCTGTGCTTGGAGGGGGTGGTGGTAGCAGGTAGCAGTGGTAGTTGTTGTGGTGATTGCAGTTGTGGTTGCGAGGTCTTGGTGCTGTTGTTGTTGTCGTTGCCGTCGCCGTCGTCGGGGTTGGGGGTTTTGGGTCGCAGTCGGGGTCACTGTTGCGCATGGTCATCGTCGTTGCTGCTTGCTGCTAGGCTTCTGTACCTGCGACAGCTCTGGTGCTTGAAATCGAAACGCAACTCAAGACTCTGACAGAGTCGAAGTGTCTAAACGGAAAGCGTTGACCG